AAATGAATACTCAGCTCAGCAGAGCTCGAAGTCTTTGTCGGTCTGGCTGCAGTGCTGACATGAAGTCTGGGGTTGATCTTTTTTTTCAGTTAATAACGAATAATAAGGTGTCCTACCTTTACAGGCTTTTTTATAGAGTAACAAACTCTTTTTCAAGGCTAAGTGAAGATCTATTTTAGTGGCCTGCTTTGATTTGCACGATTGTAAGTTATACCAGAGTTAAGTACTTCTGATTTGATGTTTTCTTTTTCAGCGGAGTCCAAGTGTCCAAGGTCAAGCGATCTGAGAAATGAACTGACTATTAACAAGATAACCTTTGTGGCATTGAAGAAGATAACAGTGAAGGAACTATATCCTTAACTTAGTTACAACACTTTGGGAAAGACAACTACTGGAATGAAATGTATTTTTCATTTTCTCAATTCAATTCAATTCAGTCGTGACCTTAAGGTTCTTAATGCTTAAACGGTCCGTTTCTTTGCCGTATGTCGAGCACCAGAGTGTAAATCAAATGGTGGGTGGGCTCATTTATATTTTGAGAGAAAGCACGTGAGTCTAATAATAGATTAAATGCATGTTTGATGCTGTCAATTTAAGCATCTACACGAATGCTAAAATCACTCGTTATAATAATTTTATCTGAACTGAGCAGAAAATCAGATAAAAGGTTTGAGAATTCACATAGAAACTGTGCTTCAAGGCCACAAAGATTCAAAAACAACAAATCAAAGCATGGAAAGGTGAAAAGTCAGGTGTTTAAAATGAATTCAGTTCAGTTTTTAGTTGTATTTAGTGTCAAATAACAACATTAGTCACCTCAAGGGGCTTTATATTGTAGGATACCCTCTACAATAATCAAACAACCCCCTTTGAGCAAGCTCTAGGCCACAGTGAGAAAGAAAAACTCCCTTTTAACAGGAAGAAACCGCAGGAAGTGGCAGCCGTCTGCTGCGAGTGGTTGGAGGGCGACGAATTAAAACTGTCTGGGTTGTTGGTTGATTAACAAGCTGGAGAGAAAGATTGTTGCCACTTCTGACACAGTCTCACACCCATCCTGCCACAGCATGACAGCAGGAGAATAGCTGCAATTTATAGTTTGTAGAATTGATGTTTTTATGAGTTTTTGTATTCAAATGTTTTTGTATTCATGCGTCTCTTCACCCTGTTAATATAGAAACACAATCTAAGCTCAGAATAAAAAACCCTGAAGCTCTAAAATCTCCCAGTATGGTCCAATAGAGGATCCAGTGTTACCTGCCGAGGTGTGAAAAACGTCATCTGTCCCTAAACCTAGCCAAGTGCTTTTGGTGCCTTAACATAACCAAGCTACAGGTTAAACTCGTTGTGTTTAATCACATATAAATAATAATACATGATCAAAGATATGATAAAAACATGCAAAGACTTCCTGGCTGCACCTTTGCCACCTGCAGCTCTTTGCATGGACACCAAAAGCATTTTGGTTCTATGGCCGATCTACTCCCAACCCTCAACCTCCTGCACCCCCAACTCCTTTTGACTGACATCCCCAGACTTTGCATCAAAACCCAACTCACAACAACCCCCC